AGCAAATGTTGCCAGGCTACGAAAATCTGCAGTCGGAACGTTTTACATATACTTAGTGTTTTGTATAAGTTATTTGCCGAACTTTTGCAGTTTTGCTGTCATGGCAATCTCTGAATTTAGTACTAGTGTTAAAGTTTTGGTCATTTCGTCAATAACTCTGATGTTACTAAATTCATCTTTGAATCCTGTTGTTTACTGTTGGAAAATGAGACACATTCGACACGCTATCTTGGACACACTGCGAAATGTCTTTCCAAGTCACAGCTGAGTAGAGACTCAAGAATCGCGCCGAAAACAACATGAACTGTCTAGAACCTGTGTAGAGTGTTAACTGTTCTAAAGGACTCATGAGTAATATTTATTTATTATTTTTTTTTTTCATTTTCGTTTTCAGTGTTCTTATATTTGTTATTGTTGTTTTCAATGTCCAAATTTATTCTATGCCTTTTCTTACCAAGCGCGTCTGTGAAGAGAAAGTCGCCTGTTTATAACATCGAGGATATTACACGGTGGCGCGAAGATATGAATTTTATTTGCGAGCGGTAAAATGTTGATTTTAACAAGGAAAAATAAAATTCATATCTTCAAGCCATCGGGTTAACGTGAAGCCGGTGCGAGAAGACCGAATGGTAGTCTGGGTATTCATTAGAATTTTGTGCACTGTTTGTCAATGTAAAGAAAATCTACATTCTAGTTATGCGACGCTTTCGAGAGGTAGACATATATGTTATTTGCCGGCTTAGGGTCGGTCCATATAGCGAAAAACTGTGACCAAGGTCTTGAAAATGCTGCCCGCCGAGGGCAGCATTTTCAAGCCCGAGGTCACAGTTTTTCGCTATAAGGACCGACCCTAAGCCGGCAAAAAAACATGTTTATTTTTTTCCTGCAGTAAATTAGTTTTACAGATCACAAATGGGTTTGTTTACGCAGCTCTTGTCATTGAATCGGCTTGCGCGCCGTCTACTAACGATTTGTAAAAAATCTTGGTAACGAGCGAGTAACTCAGATAGTAGACAAAGAAATATGTATTAAAGAACAGATTTTTTGAACTACTTATATGTTAGTTGCATTTATTTCACCAGTTAAGTTCTCCAAAGTTGTTTTTGCGCTGTGAAATTTCGTGTGAAGTTTGAAGTTTTACTACAAAAACAATCTCTGTCAGTCGTTACTTTTAAAATCACTTGAAATCAGACTTTTCTACCGGAAATTGAATGGCAGAAAGCGAGGAAAT